ATCATTTAACATTACTGCTACCCCTTCCTTTGCTCTAACTCTCTCAGATACTCCAGATTTAATCCCATTTATTTCCCCCCACTGAAACTCTCCTACCCCCTTCAGCTTTGTTTCGCTTAGAGCCAGGACATCCAACTTCTTTTCATTCTTTATTGTGGCAACAAAACAACGGCAGCTTCACCATCTCTAAAGTCTTAGCAAGAATCCTCCTGAAAACTGTAAACCCTGCCATCACATAGTCTCTTCTTTTAATACTACACAAGCACATTACAGAGGATGAACACTGAAACAGGCTGCCTCTAATTCAACCTCCAACAGAAGTATTTGTTTAACTTATTTTTATATTACCCAAGTAATAGCTTTCATATCCTTTTACTCATGTGCAAATTAATTATATTATTACTGCTACTATAACTTATATTACTACTACCACTAGTATTATTACACCCTCTGTATCCATATATTGTTTGTAACGTTTGACAAAGCTTCTGGAGAGCGAAACGTTGCCACAATAAAAATGTCACATTAGTTGCACTTGTAAGAACATAAGAACATAAGAACGAAGGAACACTGCAGAAGGCCTACTGGCCCATGCGAGGCAGGTCCAAGTCTCCTACCGGCTTAAGCCAATGCACCCAACCTAGTCAGGTCAGGTCACATTGACTTAAGGGAGGAACACGGCAACCGACCTGGTAGCACAAGCTATCAGGTCTAACTCACACCCACCCACATCCACTCATGTATTTATCCAACCTATTTTTAAAAGCTACACAACGTTCTGGCCTCTATAACTGTACTTGGGAGTTTGTTCCACTCATCCACAACTCTATTACCAAACCAGTACTTTCCTATATCCTTCCTGAATCTGAATTTTTCCAACTTAAAACCATTGCTGCGAGTCCTGTCTAGGCTAGATATTTTCAGCACACTATTTACATCCCCTTTATTTATTCCTGTCTTCCATTTATACACCTCAATCATATCCCCCCTAATTCTACGCTTTTCTAGAGAGTGCAGATTCAGGGCCCTTAGTCTATCCTCATAGGGAAGGTTTCTGATACATGGGATCAACTTTGTCATCCTCCTTTGTACATTTTCCAGAGAATTATATCCATTCTGTAATAAGGTGACCAAAACTGTGCAGCATAATCTAAATGAGGCCTAACCAAGGATGTATAGAGTTGAAGAACAACCTGAGGACTCCTATTATTTATGCTTCTTGATATGAAGCAAGGATTCTATTAGCTTTATTGCGAACACTTATGCACTGTTGTCTTGGTTTCAGATCACTGCTAACCAGAACTCCTAAATCTTTTTCGCAATCCGTAATATTAAGATCTACATTATTTAGTTTATATGTGGCATGGTTATTGTCCTGTCCAACATTAGAACTTTGCATTTGTCTATATTAAACTGCATCTGCCACTTCTCCGACCACTGCATCAGTCTATTCAAATCTTCCTGGATGTGCTCGAATGTCCTCGTCAGAATGAATTCGACGGCCTATTTTGGTGTCATCGGCAAACTTGCCGATGTCGCTCTTTATGCCCTCATCTATGTCGTTTTGTAGATTGTGAACAGCAGGGGGCCCAACACTGACCCCTGTGGAACACGCTCGTGACACTTCCCCACTCTGATTTCTCCCCATTTATGCAAAACTCTCTGCTTGCCTATTTGTCAAACCATGCCCCTATCCAGGAAAAAATTTCTCCTCCTATTCCATGTGCTTTAATTTTCCTCAATAGTCTCTGATGTGGGACCCTGTCAAAAGCCTTACTGAAGTCCATATACACAATATCATATTCATTACCATGATCTACCTCCTCAAATACCTTAGTGAAAAAAGTTAATAAATTCGTAAGGCAGGAACGCCCTTTGTAAAACCATGCTGAGATTCGTTGATTAATTTATGCTTTTCAAGGTGGCTACGAACTGCCTCGGCAATTATTGATTCCATAAATTTTCCACTATGGAGGTTAGGCTTATTGGTCTATAGTTCGAAGCTAAGGACCTGTCACCTGTTTTGAAAATAGGTATCACATTTGCCATTTTCCACTTATCTGGCACCATGCCAGTTTGTAGTGATATGTTGAAAAGATTAGCCAAAGGTGTGCTAAGCACCTCTTTACATTCCTTTAGAACCCTTGCATACAGTTCATCAGGGCCTGGGGATTTGTTAGGTTTTAATTTATCTATTTGCCTAAGGACCATGTCACTTGTGACCCTAATAGTGCACAGTTTATTATCGTCCTGTTCTACATAATTTATCATTACTGGAATATCGCTGGTATCCTCCTGTGTAAAAACTGAGAGGAAGTATGTGTTAAAAATTCTACACATTTCCTTATCACTGTCAGTGAGCTGACCCGAGGAACTTTTGAGTGGGCCTATCTTGTCCCTGATCTTACTTCTGTATACCTGAAAGAATCCTTTTGGGTTAGTCTTCGATTCTCTTGCAACTTTAACCTCATAATCTCTTTTTGCTTTTCTAAATTCCCTTTTTTATTTCTCTCTTTAACTGAATATATCGATTTCTCAATTGCCCCTCTCCTCTTTTGATTTGCCTATATATGCCTCTCTTTTGACCAATCAGATATTTTAATCTATTGTTCATCCATTTAGGATCATTTTTGTTTGATCTGATTTCCCTATTTGGAACATAATTTGACTGAGCAGCTAGAACTATGCCCTGGAAAGCATCATATCGGCAACCATCACCACCTACCTGACCCTTAGTCAGGTCATTCCAGTTCAGCCCACCTAAGTAATTTTTCAGTCCTATGAAATCAGCCAAGCGAAAGTCAGGGACGGAGACTTGATTGCCATTATTAGGGGAATTGTGTTCTTTTACTTCACATATTGTCGGTAATTCTACTAACATTATTACATAAAATGGGTTATCTTGTGAGAAAGACCCAGTTTAGGTGATTTTTCTATGACGAATGAACAAAGTCGAAACCCTACCCAGTGGGTCATATGACTGATGAAATGAAGAGGAGACCCAACAAGTCAATTTCATTTCAGTAAACATACAAATCATTACTCGGTTGACAATGCTCTCGCCTAACACACTGAGTGTCCGTGGTTCAATCCCCGGCATGGGTGGAAACATAAGAACATAAGAACGAAGGAACACTGCAGCAGGCCTACTGGCACATGCGAGGCAGGTCCAAGTCTCCTACCGGCTTAAGCCAATGCCCCAACCTAGTCAGGGCAGGTCACATTCACTTAAGGAACACAACTGACCTAGTAGCACAAGCTAGTCAGGTCCAACTCACACCCACCCACACCCACTCATGTATTTATCTAACCTATTTTTAAAACTACACAACGTTTTAGCCTCAATAACTGTACTTGGGAGTTTGTTCCACTCATCCACAACTCTATTACCAAACCAGTGCTTTCCTATATCCTTCCTGAATCTGAATTTTTCCAACTTAAAACCATTGCTACGAGTCCTGTCTAGGCTAGATATTTTCAGCACGTTATTTACATTGGGCATGTTTATTTACACCTGCTGTCCTTGTTCACCTAGGAGGAAGAAGATACGTGGATGTTAGTCGACTGTTGTGGGTAGCATTCTGGGGGACAAGACTGAAAGGCCTCAATGGTAATAGACAGACAGTCCCCGATGACGCACTGATTTTCTTGGGTTATCCTGGGTGGCTAACCCACCCCAAGGCTAAAAATCCGAACAAATCTTATCTTCAGCAGACTCAACATCTTATTCTAGTATAGCCTACCTTTACATTTAGTTTTCGAGGGAGAGTTTAAAGTCATGATGGCTAACGTGCTCTATCACCACGTACTCTTGGGTAACTGACTGCGTGGCACCTTCGTCATAACTGTCGTTTCCGCTCCAGCAGTAACTTATCATTCTATCTCTGTTGTTTCAACAAGCCCAGGAATTTACTGCTTTTGTATATTTACATATACAGCATGCATAGTGTTTTACAATTCAGCACTTAACTTGTACATACTAAAAATTATTTAGCATACAATTAACCTCCAAAAATACAGCAATCAGGCATGAAATTTACATGCATAGACTATACACAATTGACATTAATAAACTACAAAACTGAATAAAACAAATCGTTCGTTAATCACAATGTATATGAACATCATATCCATTATAATTTCAGGTGCCTAGAGACGGTAGTTTTTTGTTTAATCTTTATTACGTACTCCATACGCATCATATGGGTGCGGATTGTAGTGGCTGTCTCCTGACACTGGTCTGTCAGTGATGACCCGTTAGGACCCCAATGAAAAGGTCACATTGACTTCATTTTGTATGTATGCTCATATTATACAGGTGTCTTCGGTCTTTATAAAAAATTAAATTTGTTTGTATTGTTCATTTGTAAATTGCCCTAAATAAAAACTTACTTCGTGATTAATCACTCTTACACAAATAACCCGCACATAGAAGAGAGGAGCTTACGACGACGTTTCGGTCCGATTTGTTAATCACCCTTGCTGGTGCAGAGTATTATTGGAAATATTAACCAATCACTAGCTTGCTAATGCTATGTACCAGTAGTTAACCTATCACTGGCGTAGTAGTGTTACCGAATACACTCATAGTTAAGCAACCACTGACTTTCTGATGTTATCTGCCCGTGATTCACTATCCCATAGCTTACCGTGATTATATTCTTGGGGAATGGAAGGCAGTCATGCTCGATCAAAGGAAAAGGTCAGGAGCCCTCATCACTGGCGTCAAGTAACGACCATAAGAGGCTTACTGGTGAAATATATCTGCAGATAAGCATTAGCTGGTATACTGGTGCTTTAAACTTGTAGTTAAGCACTCACCAACTTACTGGTGCTATAAATGTGACTGATTATTCGCTGGCCTACCGGTGCTGGGTTTTCACCATCCCATTTTAAAAATACTTTACGTTACCAAGTCAAATATCTTAATGATTACAATCAATAGGATAATAATTATTATATCAGGTTTGAAAACGTTTTTCTTGCCACACTGAGATGTCATCTGCATACCTCAATCATATAGGCATTAAGTGTAACCTGTACTCTATAACAAAACACTCACCTTTCTCTTTAGAAATAACAGGTTCAAGTGGTTCCTTGCCATCCTGTGGATATGATGTCTTCTCAACTACTGAAGAAAGTTTCTTTTCACCTGAGGTGGATGGAGTCTCTTCGGCTTGAGTAGCAGGAGTTTCTTCAACTGGGTAATCAAGAGCTTTCCCAGATGAGGAGGCTGGTGTTTTCACCTCGGGGGAGGTGGAAGTCTTATCAGTCGGAACGCTAAGATCCCTATAAGTTGTGGATAGAGCCTCCTCGTCTGAAAAAGTGATCATTCTTAGTAAGTTTCCTGTATATGTTATTTAATAAATTTATACATTTACTCTTAGTCAAGATCTATCCATCTCACCTAAGATTATTATTTATTATTAAAGATTCGCCGGTATTCTCCCGGCCCGGGCCTTTTCCAAGTGGGTGGCCCGGTTTTGGCTCCCTGTCTTGGGAGTGTCTGAGACCTAAGTCTCCCATGGGAGGAGGCACAAGTACCTCCTCATCTTTGGGACCAACTGTCCCCAGGCCTAGCCGCAAGCTAGGCCTCTCTGGTCTGCCATCCCCGCCCCAAGGGGGCGAATGGGAATGACAGGCTTGTGAGCTGCAAGCTCTGGCTCAGGCACCTACCCTGCCCTAGAAGGGCTGGGCATGGTGTCGATCCACCTAAGATCTATCCATCTCACCTAAAATAATGTTTCAAGAAATATTCCTTGTTCTAAGGAGAATATATATAGCATCAGGTTTGAAAACGTTTTTCTTGCCACACTGAGATGTCCTAATATTGGTAGAATTGCCGACAATATGTTAAGTAAAAGGACACAAATGCAACATTTTATTGTGGCAACGTTTCGCTCTCCAGGAGCTTTGTCAAGCCGTTACGGCTTGACAAAGCGCCTGGAGAGCGAAATGTTGCCACAATAAAATGTCACATTAGTTGCATTTGTGTCCTTTTACTTAACACACTGCTTACCTCAGTCATATAAGCATTAAGTGTATATCCTAAACACGAAAACAATATTAATTCATATGACTGGATCCGAAATTTTGCCTTGGTAAAAAAATATAAATATCAGTCATTTCATTAAAAAAAATATTTATAAAAACGAATATTGCCACATTAGCATCAGCTGACTCCCCTCATCAGACTACCTGGAGGGTGTCCCGGGGGTCAACGTCCCCGCGGCCCAATTCTTGACCAGGCCTCGCGGTGGATCAGGGCCTAGTCAACCAAGCTGTTACAGAAATATACCTAGTTGGACGAATCTTATTGTGGCTAGCTGGTCCAGTGGCTAACGCGACGGTCTGGAGTTTTGAGACTGATCGCTGGTTCAATCCCGCCCGTGGTATGGTTTGTTTGCAATCGTGTCATTACGATTTCGTGAGTCAAGCAGTTACTGCTAGCTACACGTAGTCCAGTATATGAACCACAGCCCGGCTGATCGGGTACTGACTTTAGGTATCTGTCCAGCTCATTGCAGGTAGCTAGGGGTCTACTGGTAATTCCCCTTATGCCTGGTGGGAGACTGGTGAACAGTCTTTGGCCCCGGACACTTACTGTGTTTTCTCTTAGTGTACTAATGGCGCCCTACTTTTCATTGGAGGTATGTTGTACCGTCTGTCCAGTCTTTTGCTTTCGTAGGGAATGATTTTTGTGTGCAGATTTGGTACCAGTGAGATGAGTACAGGTCAAGCAACTCCAAGCGTTCCCAGTAATTAAAGCGTTTGACGGAACTTATATGTGCAATAAAGGTTCTCTGCACATTCTCTAGATTTGCGATTTCACCTGCCTTCAATGGAGCTGTTAGTGTACAGCAGTATTCCAGCCTACCTGGAGAGGGTTTCGGGGATCAACGCCCTCGCGGCCCGGTCTGAGACTAGGCCTCATGGTGGATCAGTCTGATCACCCAGACTGTTACTGCTGGCCGCACGCAAGCTGACGTACGAACCACACCCTGGTTGGTCAGGTACTGACTTTAGGTGCCTGTCCAGTGCCTTCAGGAAGACAGCCAGGGGTCTATTGGTAATCCTAGAGAGAACAAGTGATTTAAAAAGAATCATCACTGGTATGGCACCCATTGTTTTAAAGGTTCTCATTATCCATCCCATAATTTTCCTCGTAGATGTGATAGTGACACTGTTGTGATCATTGAAGGCGAGATCCTCTGACATTAACACTCCCAAGTCCTTCACGCTACTTTTTCGCTCTATTATGTGGTTCGAGTTTGTAGTATACTCCGTTCTAGTTATTTCCTTCAGTTTTCCATAACCGAATAGATGAAATTTGTCTTTACTGAACATAATTTTTTCTCCGTTGCCCATTGGAAAACTTAATTTATATCTGATTTTAGATTTACCGTGTCCTCAATGAATGACAGTTTCATGCAGATTCTAGTATCGTCTGCAAAGTATGACCGGTGGTATGGTTTACATCTGTCTATGTCTGATATGAAGATGAGGAACAGGATGGGGGCGAGTACTGTGCCTTGTGGAACAGAGCATTTCATTGTGGCAGCCTCCGACATAATTATGTTTACCATTACTCTTTGTGTTCGACTGGTTAGAAAGTTGAAGATCCATCTGTCCACTTTGCCACTTATCCCTTTAGCATTCATTTTGTGCGTTATTACACCATGAACGCACTTATCAAAGGCTTTGGAAAATTTGTGTATACTACATCTGCATTCTGTTTGTCCTACAGTGCATCAAAGATCATATCATAGTGGTTCAGTAGTTGCGAGAGGCAGGATCACCCTTCTCTAAACACATACTGTCCTGGATTGTTTAAGTGTTGAGAAACCAAGTGATTTGCGATATTGCTTCTCAGAACTCTTTCAAAAATTTTTATGATGTGAGACGTTAAAACTACTGGTTTATAATTCTTCGCTATTGCTGTGCTGCCACCTGTCTCTCCTGAATCCTATATGAATAATTTAACTTAAGCTCAATATCTTCCACTTCCCTAGTCAGTGCTTACTTTCGTATTTCAGATAATCTAGCCTCCTTGAGAAGCTCATTGATTCTTCGCCTTCTCCAGTTTACTTCTTCTCTTCTTTTTTCTTAGGGAAATATGCCTCGAGCACACTTCAGCTGCCAGAAATTGGGTCCTATCAAGGCACTGCTTTGGATCCACGTTATTTAAGATAGTATTTCCCTAACATGTTTCATTTAGGATATGGTTTATTTGATCCCGGTTGATGTTCTTGTTGTTGATGTTGAATTTGGTCAGGATTCCTGTGCATTTAAAGTCTGGACTTCGATTAGATTGTGATCCGAATTAGTTTGATAATGTTTGAATTTTATATTATAGGGAATGAATTAAAATATGCATTCGATATTTTGGATTTACCCTATACTCAGATGAAAGAATGATTTATTTTTAAATACAGTACTCGACTTTTAATTAATAAAGTACTGTACTGTATTCCAGTTTTTAAGTCGATGTTTATGCGTTTGAGTTTATACGTTAAAACAAATTCCATGCTCTCCCACCTTATTGCGTAATGTTAGCTTAAATTACACGCCTGTTTACTTACACTTATCCGTTTTAATCACGGGAATGGGAGTCATTTAGGTTTAATCTGAGGAAAGGAAGCATGCACAATTTCTTCAGTCAAGAGTCCCTCACCAGCACCAAGGCGCCTTCCTTGAGGGATACCTTCAGTTATATTATAAGATTCATGGGAAAGCACTAAACCTAGAGATCATGAAGCGCCAAGGTAAGCGTAGCTCAAATGCCTTTTATATAGATTCTAGAACCTTTCACCAGCATCAACGTTCCTACCTTGATTATTATTATTATAATCAAAAAGACGTTCCTACCTTGAATGGTCAATTAGAGTACAACTATTCTGACAACATTTTGCGTCTTATCATGAGGCTAGGTAAGATTAAGCTAAGTTTAGGTTTTATTTAGCCTAACTAACATGGAAAATAAGTCTTTTCAGCGTCCTTCTGTCAACTTAACCAAGAAATAATTGGCGAACACTATCACGAAAAAGCCTGAATTAAGCTAGTGGTTAAATATTAATTAAACTAACGCTGAAACATACAGCTAGTATGTTTTAATTTGGAAAACATTGTCAAAATAAAACGACGTACTCTAACTAATTTTTACTTGATTTCAAAATATATTTATCATCTACTTTAATTTATGGTATATGGTACTACCAGACATTAATATTGCATTCGTGGTGAGCGCTAAATCCGTAATGGGCGTAACTGGGAAATGGGGATCAATTAGGCTCGATCCAAAGAAATGGAGAGCACTTTCTGGCATCAAAGCAACTCTCGAGTTGATAGATGTGAAATAACGCAGTGATGTCACGGTACAGGAAATGTCACTACCTAACCTAATTTAACCTAGTCAAATCTATAATAGCCTATTCAAGCGCATAACCTATTCAAACCTAACCTAAGCTTATCACTGATGCATTCGCGAAAAAAAAGTTGGGCCACTATACAGAATTCAACATCATGACATGCACAATGAAAGACTCAATACACCCCATACGTGTTACATGATGATACATATTCTATATAAAGTATCGTCCATACTCTCATGTAAAGTATCATTCACAGTCAATAAGATGATGGACACTCTCGAAATATTAAGTCTTACTTTGATTAAGTTTCAGAGGAGCACCCCAGCGAGGATCTTGGAATGTCTGAGAATCTTCAACGTCTTCGTCCCCTCTCTCCACTTTACCTTCAGGTAGATGAGTCACTTTGCACATACGAGGACGATAAAAAATCTCCAGACTACCACTCTGAATGGCACAAAATGCTGTGAAACCAGCAAAGGCGATCCCAGTCATAAGTTTCCGGTTATGCCTCTCTTGTTGTTTCTGGTGATGGCGCTGCCAAGAACCCATTGGTACTGGCATATCTTTCATTGTAGGCCTATAGCTGAACTTCTGGTACCCGCGAACAACTGTTGCACTGCCCAAATGGGTGTCAAGCCTATGTAAAAACTTGAAGGCTCTGGAACAGTATAAATGTGCCCATAACTGGCTAAGCCTCCCCATTCTGTCGTTCACGGTCCGCACTCGAACACCGACTGAGGATTTTCAAACTGTTTAAAGCCTAACAGATTACTATACATAATTAAAGAATACATGCCACTCATTAATAGATTCACACATGATAGAGATGTACCAAATTGTGTCGCAATATTTTTAATAAACATGGAAACGACTCTTCTCGATATTAGTTTTTTTTCGATGTTGCAAATAATTGCATTTCTTTAGTTCCACAAAAGTGGATTCCACAAAAGTGGAACTAAAGAAATGTCAACTTGGCACTACTTAAGGTAGTGTATTAATGCCCTACTTAAATCTATGCCAGATACCCCCCAGCAATATCACAATTAGCTATTCTGATATTCTTATGTATACTAAAACGTATCGTCGAATGCAAACCACGAAATTATATACAGCCAGCCTGTGATAGTCTTGGCCTAATTAAAATTTCTACACAAAAGATAAAATGTTTAACGACTTATTGGTAACCGTAAATATGGACCATCAAAATTAATGGTTAACAGTTTAGTTAGTTTAATATGTTTATTATGCACCCCATACCCATCCTGTGGGCGGTAGTCAAAAGATTACAGAGGTACATAATTGGTCCAGGGACTGGACTCCAAAGTTTTGATAGCTGAGCAAGTTACAGAGGTAATGAACTCACAATTTACAGCAGGCCTATTATTACGTGTTTACATCTGTAAACATCTAGGTACTTCTGTTTCATATATACTAAAAGCTGTGAATAAAATTAACTAATAGTATAAGGACAGATTTAAGCTCTCAGAACTGATGTAAGATAAAATCCCAAATATGGTGCAAATGTTAGAGCTGCAACGATTATGTATTTGCGTAAAAGATCGTTGATCGACTACTATGTTCCATGTAGTGTATTCTAATGGTTATGATCATAACCATGATTTTTAGAGGTGGGGTGGTAAGCCAGTGAAAGTCCTCGGTCAGATGACCAAAAGCTCTAGCTATGGGTTATCAAATGACTAAGACCCGCATCAGATAACACTTGTCTTGTTTCCTGACAAACATTATACCTACCATTACCATGCTCCAGTTTTAGTCCTGCAACACAGTAGAACCAATGAAAGACTCGAAAAATCACAAAATGAAGCCTGAGAATTATTCTGGGCTGTCTGATAACCATAAAAGTACTTAATATGAGGAAAGAATTAGGTATACCCAGTGCTGCTGATAGAATACGTGAAATCAATGTTAGGGTGACACCGAAGCTACTGCCTGGTGATCAAAACAACGTTGTCTAAAGAATTACTAGATCATAATTTATGATATACATGTAATTGAATTAAGATGTATTCATATATCACATAAAAATGTCTGGACTACATGAACTGTATCACGGTATTTCCCGCCACACTGACAGATAACAGCTTTTGATATCTTGACTCACGAAAGCGTTGTAACACGATTGCAAACAAGTGGGTGGGTGTGAGTTGGACTTGAGTAGCTTGTGCTGCTGGGTCTGGTGCCGTGCTCCTTCCTTGAGTGGAGGTGACCTGACTGGGTGGGTCATTTAGCTAATGGGGGGGGGGTCATTGGGCTAATCCGGGGGAAGACATGGACCTGCTCCGCATGGGTCAGTAGGCCTGTTGCAGTGTTCCTTCTTTATGTTCTTAAATCACGGAACGGGTGGGACTTGAACTCATGGTAAATGAGTCCTAAAACTCACAGACCAGTGCACTCTATATGTGGTTAGCGCACTGGTCTGTGAATTTTAGGACTTGCATGCCATGGGTTCAATCCCCACCGTTCCGTGATTTATTAGCTTTTGTTATCGCTATGCCCACCTATCCTCCCAAGAAAGTAACCATGCACAATCCTCGACTTCGATTACTTTCTAAAAACAGTGATCTGGAACACATACACGATTTTAGGACAAAGAATACTATCCCACACTATTTATGAGGATAACTGACTACCCTGACAGTGGGAGGGCAGGAAGTGCTGTTATTGTACACCAGCCTGTTAGTATTATAATACAGAGGTGTATTGGAATTAGTAATTAGGCTTCCACCTTACAAACTGAGCTGTTTGCCATATAGTAGTTGCTCTCATACTTGTGGAAACTACGACCACATACAGTTGAATTATAACTGGCTCTTTTTTTTTTTTTTTTTTTTTTTTTTTATTCGCCGGTATTCTCCCGGCCCGGGTCTTTTCCAAGTAGTGGTGACCCGGCCTTGGCTCCCTATCTGGGGAGTGTCTCGAGACTTAAGTCTCCCATGGGAGGAGGTACAAGTACCCCCTCATCTTTGGGACCAACTGTCCCCAGGCCTAGCCACATTCCCCGCCCTCACGGGGCTCGTAGGGAGAAGCTAGGCCTCTGGTCTGCCATCTGCCCCGCCCTAAAAGGGCTCGTGGGGATGGCAGTCTTATGAGCTGCAGATGGTAGCAAGCTCAGGCTATCTAACTGGCTCTCTTTCCTCATTACTTTTTTTTTTTTTTTTTTTTTTTTAAATAGCCTGAGACCTGAATGTAGCATGCGTGTGTATGAAGCAAGGCACAGGTTTACACAAATTATTAAGAAATAGAGATTACTATTAAGCTTCTGTGGATTCCCTCTTACGTAGGCCTCCAGGTGCATGACAAACTTGATGAATTAGCTGAACAATCATTAAATAAAGAGAATGTTGAGTATAACTTTGGTTTTCAAGCAGAAGTCTACAAAATACTGTTAGAAAGGAACTAACAAATGAGCTTGAATAAAGTAGATCGGTACATATAGGAACTAGCAGATTCATTATATATAATAATGAAATGTGTCAAGTTAAACACGTCAATGGGGAAAGTAACAAGGCCCGTAGATTATAAGATGTTGTTTACCTGGAGTTTACCTGGAGAGAGTTCCGGGGGTCAACGCCCCCGCGGCCCGGTCTGAGACCAGGCCTCCTGGTGGATCAGAACCTGATCAACCAGGCTGTTGCTGCTGGCTGCACGCAAACCAACATACGAGCTACAGCCCGGCTGATCCGGAACTGACTTTAGGTGCTTGTCCAGTGCCAGCTTGAAGACTGCCAGGGGTCTGTTGGTAATCCCCCTTATGTGTGCTGGGAGGCAGTTGAACAGTCTCGGGCCCCTGACACTTATTGTATGGTCTCTTAACGTGCTAGTGACACCCCTGCTTTTCATTGGGGGGATGGTGCATCGTCTGCCAAGTCTTTTGCTTTCGTAGTGAGTGATTTTCGTGTGCAAGTTCGGTACTAGTCCCTCTAGGATTTTCCAGGTGTACATAATCATGTATCTCTCCCTCCTGCGTTCCAGGGAATACAGGTTTAGGAACCTCAAGCGCTCCCAATAATTGAGGTGTTTTATCTCCGTTATGCGCGCCGTGAAAGTTCTCTGTACATTTTCTAGGTCGGCAATTTCACCTGCCTTGAAAGGTGCTGTTAGTGTGCAGCAATATTCCAGCCTAGATAGAACAAGTGACCTGAAGAGTGTCATCATGGGCTTGGCCTCCCTAGTTTTGAAGGTTCTCATTATCCATCCTGTCATTTTTCTAGCAGATGCGATTGATACAATGTTATGGTCCTTGAAGGTGAGATCCTCCGACATGATCACTCCCAGGTCTTTGACGTTGGTGTTTCGCTCTATTTTGTGGCCAGAATTTGTTTTGTACTCTGATGAAGATTTAATTTCCTCATGTTTACCATATCTGAGTAATTGTTACTACTAGACTACGGTTAAACTGTAAGTATATGGCAGTACGGTTTGTATGGAGATGCCAATAACATAAAATGCAAAGTGTGTGGACAGAGACAGAACTATACACTGGAACATTACATCTTAGTGCCAAAACATCCAACCTTTCAGAGACACCTTCAAGCAAACCTTACAGGATATGGCAAAACATCTCACTGTTAATGATAAAATATCTGAAATCTTGAGGTTGTATCTACATTAGCATCGACTAGACGAATGAACAGTTTTTAATAAGGAGATTGCAACCCAGTTATGACCAATGTTTTTAGTGGTTGTGGAAAATTTTGACAATTTTCCTGTAATATGTGTGTGAGAATTAATGGTCACAATGGTTATAAAATCTCGTGTAGGTGTATATTTTTATCGCTACTTTTTGGAAAGTATTAAGTCACATGAAAACCTATATTACCTATAAATTCCTTGTGTGGAAAATACTGTATATATTTTCAAGAAATTCAGTATTTATATGTAAATAGATGGCCATACTGTATTTAATAATATTTATGTCATAGAAAACGGAAAGCCTGCGTCTGCGCAGACGAGATTTGCCATCTTGGTTTTGATTTTGTATTAGAAACGATGGTGAATGGGGAAGAATTTTTCGTGCTCTAGAGGTTAAAATTGTGTTGACACCTCTCAAATAGGAGGCGAAATTGGTGGATGTGCATAACTTGAGATATCAGACGACTGGACAAGACAGCTCCAGGAACCTCAGATAAGCTCTCTAGATTTGTGCCCCTCAAGGAAGGTTCCTTGATGTTGGTGAGGGGCTCTTGATTTAGGAAATTGGATCTGTGCTCCAGTTCCCCGAATTAAGCCTGAATGCCTTCCACATCCCCCCCCCAGGCGCTGTATAATCCTCCGGGTTTAGCGCTTCCCCTTGATTATAATAATAATAATAATAATCTAGATTTGTGTGTAATTCTGGCCAGCATTATTTTCATAGATTTAGTTAGAGTGAGGCTTTCTGAGTATGACACATTAATCTCCAGTCAAATTGGTGAGTGTTATGATTAAGATATTCTCTTTCTGTTATGTATATGTGTATCTATAATCATTTATTATTTTTAATATACAGTCCACAAATTTATATATTTACCAGCATTCCTGGTGATGTATTTTTCATTTATAATTAATAGGTCCAGAGCAACTTGTGGATATGACAGTGGTAGGTATCGAAGGAGGACATTTTTTGCGACCTAGGTGTCCCAAATTCCTACTTGTCTAACTGATAAATAATAATTATCTGTGTTCATTTACTGTTATGTACATAATGATACATTCAGTTA